TTAAGGCGATATTAAAATATTCATTGAGAATACGTGAATCTTGGTGCATGAATTGCGCTTCTTGGAGCAATAAGAAATGCTGCCAGCAAACACACTAGCCACAAATTTTATTTCTTTATTTCTTTATTTTTTATTTATCACATATGGTGCAAGAAATGACTTATGACTCTCAACTCTAACAAATCTAAATGCATGTCAATAACCCGGCGATCTATTTCTCCCCCCTGTACCTACAGAATTAACGCCGTTCCCCTCCAGCATGTCTCTTCATATAAGTACCTCGGCGTTTACATTACCAACAATCTATCTTGGCACACGCATGTTACCTACATCTGTAATAACGCTAACCGAACGCTAGGATACTTACGCTGCAACTTTTCTCGCGCTCCGCTGTCCCTCAAAATTCTATTATACCGATCACTAATTCGCCCAAAGCTTGAGTACGCGTCCGCTATATGGGATCCCGTGCAGCAAAATTTAATTAACGCGTTAGAATCTGTTCAGAACCGCTCAGTTCGGTTCATTTGTTCTAATTATTCCCGTACTGCTAGCATATCAGAAATGAAATCTAACCTTGACCTACCCAATTTAACTGTCCGGAGGAAACTTGCACGACTGCATTTTTTTCATAAGATATTTTTTCACAATCCATCAATGAAGCGAGACCTTATTTCACAACCGTCATACCACTCATCGCGCATTGATCATCAGCATAAGGTTGCCATTCCGTTTTGCCGCACCAAATTCTTTTCAGCAGCCTTCTTACGGAAAACAGCCGCCGATTGGAACCACCTTCCCTCTTCCGTTGTAACAATAACAGACCCTTTGTTATTCAAGACTGCAATTTCTCAGCAATGCTTGTAACTATACGCAGTTTCCATTATCTATCTTTGTCTTGTATGTGCTTGAATTCTTATACATTTTTAGTTGACTTATGTTGCCTTCCTGATTTGCGCATCTGACACTTGTTTCTTTATTTTGTCTTTTTTTTCTTGTGTGTTATAAATGTTGTACCCCCCCCCCCCCCCCTGTAATGCCCTATGGGCCCTGAGGGTATTCTAATAAATAAATAAATAAATAAATACTGCGGACTAAGTATGGTCCATGCAGGAGAGGGCAATACAGTTCAAAATTCTTCTACATACATACACTTCCGCTGCAGTATACATTCACTGCAGAACAAAATTCATGTACATTAAAAATTCGTGAAAAACAAGGGACAAATACAGGCAAAGAAGCAGACTTAAGCGACAAGAAAAGGGTATAGTATCATCTCGGTGTGTCGAGCATAGGGGAATCATGGGGCAGAGCATTCCAATCAGAGACAGTTCTTGGAAAAAATGAATACTTGTAAATGTTAGTGCGTGCAAATATAGGTGTAATGCTACGACTATGTTTATGACGTGAAGCCCTGGTTGTGTCCTGTGTTATGTAATCTGGTGCATGCAATCCTGATCTGGAAAAGTATAAAAGGCGGAAAAAGTTAAGCCGTGCAGTTTTCCTTCGATCAGCCAAAAGTTGGAGGTTCGCATTCTGCAACAGGGCTGACGGCGAATCGCGACATCTATACCGGTTGTATATAAATCAAGCAGCTAATCGTTGTATTTTTTCTACCTTCTGTATATTACCAGCTGTGTGGGGGTCCCACACAATGCTGGCATATTCAAGAGAAGGACGAACTATGACTTTATAGGCTCGTAGTTTTAGAGAACTAGAAGAGCGACCCAATTTATATTTTAGAAAGCCTAATTTTCTCCTGGCAGCAGAACATATACCATCAATATGTGCTGTCCAGCTAAGCTTCGTTGTAATCATTACGCCCAAGTACTTGAATTCTTCTACTTGCCTGATAGCGTATCCGCCTACATTATAAGTAAACTCCAGTTTTCGGATTTTGTTACTCAGACATAAATATGCAGTTTTCTCAAAATTAATTACCATTTCCCACTTTTTACACCATTCTTTTATGTAGATTAAGTTCTCACACAAGTCACGCTGGTCAGAGATTGGTATTAAAAATTATGCAATCGTCTGCAAATAACTTAACAGACACGCCAGGTCGGATGGCTTGAACTAAATCGTTAATATAAATATTAAATAGTATTGGCCCGAGAACTGACCCTTGCGGGACTCCAGATAACACCCACAAATAACCAGAGGTGAAACCGTTTATATCTACGTACTGTTTTCTGTTCGTTAAGTATGCTATGACCCAGTTAGTTATTTCCGGAGGAATGCCAATATCCTTCATTTTATCTATTAGCTTGATATGCGGGACTTTGTCAAAGGCCTTGGAAAAGTCCATAAAGATGACATCAACCTGTCCAGACTTGTCCAGAACTTTGGAGAACTCGTTAACAGTTGATAATAATTGTGTAGGGGTAGATAATCCCCGTCGGAAGCCATGTTGCGTGCTGTGAATTACATTATTTTGTTCAAGAAAAGTATTTAAATATTTCGCTATAATATGTTCAAGTAATTTGCAACAGATACAGGTAAGGGAGATTGGTCAATAATTGCTGACTAATAATCTGTTACCTTTCTTAAATACCGGAATTACACGTGCTAGCAGCCAATCGTCGGGCACTGAACTAGTTTTAATCGAAACATCAAATATTATTACTAAGAATCTAGCTGTAATTTCAGCATACCTCTTTAGAAAAACAGCTGGGATACCGTCAGGGCCGGTCGATTTTTTTACGTCTAGCCGCAATAATAGTTCTGTCACCCCTTCCAAGGATATATTTATTAGACTTGAAGGACCTGGCACCGTCATAATACTCAAGTTTTGTGGTCTTGAGAAAACGCTCTGAAAGTAGGAATTAAATGCGTTTGCTATTTCGTTTTTATTTGTGACAGCGGTTTCTCCGTTCATTATTTCATCAGGGTTTATTTATTTATTAGAATACCCTCAGGGCCCGTAGGGCATTACAGAGGGGGTGGGTACAACATATATAACACAAAAGAAAAAAAGACAAAATAAAGAAACAAGTGTCAGATGCGCAATCAGGAAGGCAACATAAGTCAACTAAAAATGTATAAGAATTCAAGCACATACAAGACAAAGATAGATAATGGAAACTGCGTATAGTTACAAGCATTGCTGAGAAATTGCAGTCTTGAATAACAAAGGGTCTGTTATTGATACAACGGAACAGGGAAGGTGGTTCCAATCGGCGGCTGTTTTTGGTAAGAAGGCTGCTGAAAAGAATTTGGTGCGGCAAAACGGAATGGCAACCTTATGCTGATGATCAATGCGCGATGAGTGGTATGACGGTTGTGAAATGAGGTCTCGCTTCATTGATGGATTGTGAAAAAATATCTTATGAAAAAAATGCAGTCGCGCCAGTTTCCTCCGGACAGTTAAATTGGGTAGGTCAAGGTTAGATTTCATTTCTGATATGCTAGCAGTACGGGAATAATTAGAACAAATGAACCGAACTGAGCGGTTCTGAACAGATTCTAACGCGTTAATTAAATTTTGCTGCACGGGATCCCATATAGCGGACGCGTACTCAAGCTTTGGGCGAATTAGTGATCGGTATAATAGAATTTTGAGGGACAGCGGAGCGCGAGAAAAGTTGCGGCGTAAGTATCCTAGCGTTCGGTTAGCGTTGTTACAGATGTAGGTAACATGCGTGGGCCAAGATAGATTGTTGGTAATGTAAACGCCGAGGTACTTATATGAAGAGACATGCTGGAGGGGAACGGCGTTAATTCTGTAGGTACAGGGGGGAGAAATAGATCGCCGGGTTATTGACATGCATTTAGATTTGTTAGAGTTGAGGGTTGTCTTTGTTTTGTAAGAACTGGTAAAATTTTCGTGGACTCTCTGACGCAATATGGTGTCACTCCCTTGAGAGCACACAGTGGTCGTTGCTTATCACGCAAAAAAGGCCTAGCTTGATACTCAAAGGGTTGTTAGCCATTTTTAATACACATACAAGAAAAAATACTACTTAATCGCCAAGGGCACATTTTAAGGCAAGTTTATAAACAACTAACTATCTTTACAACAACCACTTTTCACGGCTTTTTTGAGTTTGTTATAAAAGGGTTCAGCGGTATTCCCTTCACTGTTATCGTGTTTATATACGCCCTCTGGTCCATGACGGTGCACAAATAAATAAATAATTGCACGTTGCAGAGTTCTCTGAAAAAGAAATTTTCACTGCTGCAAAGTGCTTCAAAATGAAAATTCCAATGCACCAGAAACTTCAGATAGGACGTCCTCAGTACCACGGCTTTTTTCTTGCTCTATCATTTACTGGCCTAGAGGGTATGTGAAATTTGTAACATACCGTATTTACTCGCGTTATGACGTCGGAAGTGTCGTCCAGTCGCTCGGTTTCCATGCTTTGGCTACTCCATCACATGCTCTACCAACTTTAAGTTTAAAAAAAGCCGTGTGGCTAGCGTACTGCCTGAACGCGCCTTAGCAGTTCACCACAACAAACCCCACAACAAAAATTCTGAGTCAGATGGCGGCTCACGAACGTTGCGGATGCACGGCGCTCAGTCGGCGCAGCAGTTTATATGGTTTCTAAGATGGTGGCTGCGCGGTGTGTTTCCATTCCACGCGCCTGCCATTTCAGAGGCCATGCACTTTGTTTTTTGCTTTGTTTTCGTGTCGCTGTGCTTGTGTGACGCTATAATCAAAGAGGTTTCTTCTGCATTCGACCGATGGCACTCTGCCGCAAAACGCACGACTTTTAAATTTTGATTGGTGTCGTCTGGGCTGGCAACTGTATAGCATGGTTGCAAAACTGCTTTGACCTTTATTGCACCGTTATTTCGTGATATAATGGCTTGATTTAAGGTTGTTTCGATCATCAACGGCACTGGGTGTCAGACTGAAATAAAATGAACAAATGCATTGAAAGAAACAATTTTTTCCAAGAACAAGGCACACTTACTAAATAGGGTAGATGTTGCCTTCATATGTGAAACACTTGGCTTTGCACGCCTTACTTGTACTAACAAGCATTTTTTCTTTGCAGCGGGTGAATGACAAGCTGTTCTTTGACAAGCGTGATGACTCCGAGTTCGGTGAGTGGGCCTGTTTTCCAAAAGACTTGCAAAAAATGTCCTAAAAGTGTTCTTCATGCAGGCAGAATATGCAATACGGCTAGATAAGTCTTTTACCAGCATTCAGTGTACGCCAAAGGCAAACGTTTTGCATCAAAATGCCCCTAATAAGCCATCTGGGTGGATCGAGTGGTTATGGTGCTCAATTGGTTATTCGAAGGAATCAAATCCTGGCTTCGGTGGTTGCAAGGAGGCGAAAATCGGTGCTACTGCAGAAAAAGGGGCCCTTTTTACTAGGTGTGGCTAAATAGTAATGCGTTATTATATTATTTGGTACCAAACTGTAGCTAAAAGAAGGGTCTGTCCTATACCATAAATGTAGCATATATTTATTATACACATTAAATAAAAATGTTTAATAAGAAAAAATTTTTCAGTGATTATACAGCTCACATTCTAAAAAAGAGAACAACTTAAAAAATAATGAGGCTATAAATAATTCAAGATATACAATTTGTATTCTCGTGTTGCAAAAAAGGTTGTACAAGTTTCCAGAATTATTGCCTAAAACTATTCTTTCCACAAAAAGGAAAGTTAGAGGGGATGCTGTTGTATAATATTCAAAGAAATCAGGCCTTAAAATGACTCTGAGGTATTCCAGTTGAGATGAAGGCGAAGTAACTCTAGGATTTCCATGTAAATGAGGATTCTAATGCACTTTATCATTTCATCGGGAGTGAAGCTCCTCCATGAACCGCCCCTTTACGTGTATGTCTGCCTCTCTAAAACATGTATCCACGTATATTTGTTAGTGTAGTCTCAAATCATGCTGGTCAGTTGTGCAGTGAAAAACAGCTTGATGAAATCGACGGCCTGAATGAAGCGTCGCAAGTTACTCTGGAATGCGCCTCCGACTTCCACCCCAGGGTTTGGTCTCGAAAGACACTGCACACGTTTGAGAGATGCCGGCCAGCAATCATGTCTGTAGAATGTTGAGACCCCCAAAATGAGTAGAATTGCTGTGAGTGCACACTCCGCTGCCAGACTACAAAATGTGCGCCACACATACAGCCGGCACTCACTCTCTGAGGATTAGCTGTCTGCGGCCATGGAGGACTTTTGGGTCGAACAGGGGATTTCATTAACAGGGATTAGCGAAATACATACAATGAAATTGCCCAACATCTCGCTATGGATAGGAGAATCTTTCCACCGCCACATAGGAAGCTAAATAGAGCACAGGCGCTTACATTGCGATTACTTCAAACAGAAACGTACCTTAACCCTGCTTTTCTCCACAAGCTTTGCCCTGAGGTTTATTTAACCAACTCGTGTACAAAATGTCACCTTACATCACATGCTCTGGGAGTGCCCTTCAATATGCTTCACCGATACAGCATTGTCCAGAAAGTAGAACTCTCCTCTCCGGAGTCCGGACATAACATCGCAACTTTGAGCTGTCCTGTGGTCCCATGATGCAGCGCAAGGTCTCGGCCTTACTGTCCCATCGTGGAAGCGGCCCGCCGTGTGCTGGGGCGCACGCCTTCGAACTTTCACAATAAAGTTTTCCCAAACCAAACCAAGCATCTTCTCCAGACTCACTGCTGCTGATTCCATCCTCAAAATCTGCTGTTGATGCACTTGATTCGCGAGAAACCCGTTGTCTTTTATGGCCGTCTGCATGGAAAAACGGCGGCATGATTGGCGCGCACATGCAGGTACCCAAAACTTCTTGTGGCAAAGGAAAAACAAAAGACATACAAAGCAAAAAACAACCAAAACATCAAAGCTTTCGTTAAGCGTTTCCCAATTTTTTACATAGATGGCGTTGCCCCGCCTCGGTGATCTGGTGGCTAAGGTACTCGGCTGCTGAGCCGCAGCTCGCGGGATCGAATCGCGGCTGCGGCGGCTGCATTTCCGATGGAGGCGGAATTGTGGTAGGCCCGTGAGCTCAGATTTGGGTGCACGTTAAAGAACCCCAGGTGGTCGAAATTTCCGGAGCCCTCCACTACGGCGTCTTTCATAATCTTATGGTAGTTTAGGGACGTCAAACCCCGCATATCAATCAACGAACGCCGCTACAGTGGCTAGAATAAAAAAGTGTGATGAGTGGCAAGCGGTGCCTACGGTGCGCACTGCAGCCCCTGAGGAGAAGCCGCGTGGGAGCACGCGCAGTCGTTTATATGTTTGCACATTTCAGACAGTTTTGTCAGGCGCGTTCATCCTCTTTTTTTTTATTGCGGTGGCGCTCTGACACCGATGTTTCTGTATGCTCTCTTATGGCGCTCTCTCATTCACTGCTTCGTCCCGGGGTGCACTACAGGCTACAAGTCAGCTAAAAAGAAGCATACGTTGTTCGGCGAAGCTCTTGCTTGCGCAGTGGCGGAGAGCGATTCCGCGCGCTGACAAGCTGCTTCATGAAAACTCGGCTGTGTGCGAGCTGCACTTTGACAAGAGGTACATCTCCCAGCACTTCGAGCACACTATGAATGGCGAAATTGTCCACATTGAAAGGGGTATGTCCATAGGCGTGGGTGCTGCTTGGGGGGGAAGAGGGGTTTATTGCAGGGTGCCTCCTCTCTATTGAATCAGCGTGTGAGGCAGATTCTGTGCCCCCCTTTTTAGATGACTGAAAGAGTGCTCCGCTGCCTATTCAATTTATAGAGCAGATTTAGTGCCCCCCTCCCAATCGACTAAGGGGGGCGCCGGCCCCCTTTGCCTCCCTCGTGCAGTTGCCTATGGCTAGGCCTTTCGGAGAAGCAATAGAATTGAAAGTTGGACTAGTTGGATATGCATGGTATAACTGTCAGTTCAAGCGCACGAATAAGCAGAAAGGAAAAGAGAGAACAAGCGCTTGTCCTCTCTTTCGGATCATTGATGGATTACGTCATGCCAGTTCTTCAACGAAAAGCTGGGTAATGGGACAAGCATGTTTTTTTTTTTTTTTCAGATAAAAATGACCATTGTCTTCCATCGGTCAGTAACAATACCACACAAATGCTGAAGGGAATCTAAAAAAAAAAAAATGAAATTTTCAGTGAAATTCATCATCATCATCATCAGCCTGACTACGTCCACTGCAGCACAAAGGCCTCTCCTATGTTACGCCAGTCAATTTGGTCCTGTGCTTGCTGCTGCCTATTTATACCTGAAACTTCTTAATCTCATCTGCCCACCTAACCTTCTGTCTCCCCCTAACCCGCTTGCCTTCTCTAGGAATCCAGTTAGTTCCCCTTAATGACCAGCGGTTATCTTGTCTACGCGCTACATGTCCGGCCCATGTCAATTTCCTGTTTCTTTAACTCTGGTTCGTTCCTTGGTCCACCCTGCTCTCTTCTTCTCTATTGATGATACATTTACAATTTTCCTTTCCATCGCTTACTCCGTCGTCCTCAATTTAAGCTGAATCCTCTTTGTACAGTTTTTGCTCCGTATCTTAGTACCGGCAAGATGCAGCTGTTGTATACCTTCCTCTTGAGTGATAGTGGCAATCTACCTGTCATGATTTGCGAGTGCTTGCCAAATCTGCTCCCCCCCCATTCTTATTCTTCTAGTAACTTCAATCTCGTGGTTCGGCTCCATGGTTATTACCTGTCTGAAGTAGACTTAGTCTTCTACAACTTCAGGTGCACTATTATCTATCTCGAAGCGCTGCTCTCTTTCGAGGTTGTTGAACATTACTTTCGTTTTCTGCAGAATGATTCTAAGACCTACCTTTCTGCTCTCCTTGTCTAACTCCGTAATCATTTGTTGTAATTCGTCCCCTGGGTTACTCAGCAATGCAATGTCATCGGCGAAGCGCAGGTTACTAAGGTACTCTCCATTAACACTTATGCCTAACTATTCCCATTCTAGGCCTCTGAAAGCCTCATGTAAGCTCGCGATAAATAGCATTGGGGAGATTTTATCCCCCTGCCTTACACCCTTTTTGATTGGTATTCTGTTGCTTTCTTTATGAAGCATTATGGTAGCAATTGATCCCCTGTAGATTTCTTCCAGGATGTTTATATATGCTTCGTCGACTCCCTGATTCCACAGTGTGTATGTGACTGATGATATTTCTACTGAATCAAACACCTCGTAATTTATGAAGGCTATGTATAGTGGTTGGCTACATTCTGAGCATTTCTCTATTACCTGATTGATATAATGGGGTGAACAAGCTTTGTTCAAAACAAACTGTGAATTTAGTCACGTCACTAGCAGTCCTGGTCTTCCTCAATTGAATTTTAAAAACTGAGTGTTGCCTAAGCTTTATTTCTGTACGTCTTAGCCCATGGAAATTTTGGCCTATTTTTCCAACTGTGCAAAAAAAATCAATTTTCCGTAATTTTTCCGCGTTACACCAATAAAAATAGTTTCGTGGCGGTAGTTACCGGCCATCGTGACAAATACATCACAAGCCTCACTGTGAACACGGCACACGCTGAAGCAGCAGAGGAAGCGGCTATAGCACTGGCCCTCACACAGACCAATGCCACATATGTGATTAGTGATTCGCAAACAGCAATTCGCAATTTCGCCAACGGACGCATCTCACAAGAGGCATTTCACATACTCCAACGACATCCCATACATCCAGGAGAGGTCGACTTCGATAACCGAAGGCACCTGTTATGGATCCCGGCACATACCGGACTGAGCACTCCCAACGAAGCGGTTCACCGCGTTGCTCGAGCCCTCACTCACCGAGCATCGCCGGAGGACGACGAGCCCCCGCGGGGAACGACAGACATCTGGGTATAGGAGGATCGTATGACCAGGTTTCACGACATCACCACACATTACCAGTTACAAAGGCGCATATACCCATCTCCTCACGAAAGGCTGAACAGAACGCAAGCGGTACACTTCAGACAATTACAAACATATTCATACAGAAATCCTAGACTCATGCACGCCATGTATCCAGACATATACACTACAAACAGATGCACGTCATGTGGCGAGGTTGCCACCCTTAGTCACATGCTGTGGGAGTGTCAGGGCCTAATAAACAATTCGAACAGTGCCGATTCGTC